AGGATGCTGTACATAAAACAGAAAACAGCAAGAAATTTTGAGGCAAAATATATGCATCTGCATGTACAACATGTTTGCACAAACAGTACTAACAAGTTAGCAGATTTCACCAGTGCAGAATATTATTTCAAGCATTGTGGCTGTTGTTTTTTTATTGAATGTCAAGGATGTAATGATATTTTTAAAAATACTAATGCAGGTCTTGTGTACCACAGTGTATTTTCATTTTTTGAAAAGTAAGTGTCTTGAAATAAAGTGCACTTTTAATCCCTATTCTTTTGGTTCTCCTAAAACAGAAGGTATATGTACTAAAATTTCACAAGTTAAAGCTAAAACTCTGGAAAATAGCATAAATCGTAGCTTTAAATATCCAGCTTTGGCATATACATGGTTTTAATCTGCATTTGGTGTTCAGCCATTGAATAGGGAATCTTTCAAAAGAATTTTCTAAATATATGAAAGTTATAAATTTATGCAATAGTATGTGAAGTGCTTTACTGGCATCAACCCAGATCCATAAAAAAGGCACCATGGCAGCAGTTCAGTCAGTCTCAGAACTGATATCGTTTTGTGTCTCTCTTATATCAATAAACAATGACGGCATCAAAGAGGCTAAATGCTTTATTCATAATGCATACTTATATTTATTGCAGTATTTGTAATTGTAGTATCTGGAATGACAGGAATTAGAAACCAAAATCTTCCCTGCCATTCTTTCTCATTTTCAAAACTTTACAACCACAAGGGCGCAAGCAAGAGATCTCGTACTTTGGGAACTCTCTGTGGTTTTAAACTACTGTACTATGTTTTCTGGCCACAAACATGAATATCATCTGATGAATAGTGCTTTGGAAACTTTCTCAAAATGGCTCAAGCAAGCAGTTTTCCTTAAGTCACCCCATTTTTTTTCAAAAGATCAGTAATATGAACAGCCTGTTAGTAGATATTTTGGTGAGGAAAAATATTTCATGATTTAAAATATTTTGAATCCATTTGAAATGAATGCAATATATGAGTGATAATTTACAACTTATGTTACTGTTCACAAGGAATCTACAAAGAGTTGGTCACTGCTACTATACCTACATACCAGTCACTGAACTATATCCAACTTGCTCCTTTCACTTTCCTAATCATGAGTCATGTTGCTCTTCAAAGTAGTTCTTATTTTGTCTCCTTAAAATATGTTTGGCCATCTGTAAAAGCAGCTAATATATTTAAAATATCTCTGAAACATGTATTGCATTTGTCCATCACTTCAGGATATTGAGATTTTTCTCACAGCAGATGAAGTCACTATAACTTGTATTATATATTCTTCTTATTGAAGAAGATGGTGTCTATCATTCTGTGAGATCATTAAACAATTAATATATGGAATGTACATTCTGCTAGAGCATCCTTACCTAAAGAAATCTCAAGTGATAAATCTCCAGCCATAAGAGGATATGGATGGTTCAACAGTTAAAGACACTGAGCTTGTCAGCTGGAAAGCTGACAGCTTGGATTTGAGACCCGAGTGCCATGTGACCGAGTGAGCTGCCATCCTTGCCCCAGCTCCTGCCCACCTGGCAGTTTGAAAGCATACAAATGTGACTAGATAAATAGGTACCACTTTGGTGGGAAAATAACACTGTTCCATATGCTTAGGGCTATAGTCATGCTGACCATATGACCACGTGAATGTCATTGGGTAACGCTGGCTCCCTCGGCTAAGATATGAAGATGAGCACTGCCCCCTAGAATCAGACACAACAGGACAGGAGAAACCTTTACCTTTAGGTTTTCTATGGAAATAAATATATTTCACTAGAAATTGAAAAAACCAGAATATTGCTTTGACTTGCACTTCTCAAGATGAATGAATCAAAGGCATATCCTAAGAATGTTTAGCTTCTTTCAACCCAGTTCAATTTCTGATTACTTTCTCAATGTACAAGCAGAATACAAACTGAATTCCATTTAAATAACCCCCTTTCTCTTCTGATGTTAGTGTGGGTGTAAAAATGCAAACATTATTAATATGCATTACCTTACTTGATCTGTTCTAGTGCTATGAAGCCAGCTTGTACATCAAGATGTTGCAAGCTGTGTATGCAAAATTATTAATATGCATTACCTTACTTGATCTGTTCTAGTGCTATGAAGCCAGCTTGTACATCAAGATGTTGCAAGCTGTGTATGCAAAATTATGTTTTTATCTTTCTATATACACAGATGGATATTGTTTTATGGCAAGGTACTGTATATAATTCATCTCTAGTTAAGATTTGTAATAAGTATTTTGTCTTAATTCCTGTACCTACTTGACAATATCACTACTAAGACAGTGTAGGAAGCCCTGTCTCCTAGAGAAATAAATATTTTGGGGAATATTAAAAGAGGTAGAATATTATATTTTCCCAAAGGAGAAATGGAAAAACATGTTCTTAGAGGCCAAAAGCAGCCCCCAGTCTTTCTTAATAGCCTATAGGACAGTGATGGCTAACTTTTTTGTCGTTGTATGCCGAAAGTGTGCGTGTGCGCATGTAGGCGCATGCACGTGCCTGCACCCATAATGCAATGCAGACATGACCCCTGCTGTGTGGCCTGTGCCCTCCTGCACATGTGTATATGATTCCCTGCGCTCCTCCGCACCCCTGCATATGCGCATGCATCTCCTGCATGCGCTCCCCCATGCATGCACGGCAGATACCCAAAAATCAGTTGGCTGGTTGGAGGTGCACGCGCATGCACAGTAGAACTGAGCTGGGGTGACAGCTCACATGCCGGCAGAGATAGCTCTGCGTGCCACTTCCAGCATCGGTTCGCCATCATGGCTATAGGAGATGCCCATTAAAAAATCCTGGGCCAAGCCTATTCACAAACAATACCTCTTTACCTCCCATGATGGGATTAAAATTTATATTCTTTTTCCACCCAAATTCTAAGGGCAGGACGTGACTTTTTAGGACATAATAGGATTAATCCACACCATTAGAATAGCAAAAGACATCAGAGTCACTACATTGCACAATCCCTGCAGCATTTCAGAAACGGTATAAAAATCCTTGCAGACATCAAGCTAATTGGTCAGCTGTCCCAGAACTGCATGCTGTGGTTCTGTTCATCAATAAACTTTCTTTCCAATCAGCCTCCATTTTATTTCCAGCACCTTTCTCCCAGCTTGGAACTGAACCAGATGGATTTTCTTCCTCCAATTGTTAGGCAGAACAATTAAGTTGCACTCCACCATGGTGTTAAATAACACAAGACAGAATCTTTCTTTAGTTTATTTGTAAAGCAAGGTTCTTCTCCCCACTGTTTAAATAGACTGAGTACACAGCAATTAAACAGTTTTGGATCGCTGCATGACATGAAAATGTCATTTATTATCTCCTCAATGCTTTATGGCATGTTTCCTTTTACAGTTTCCTTATTCAAGAATTTTAAAGTCACTTCTGCAGGGAAAGCAGAATACCGGAAGAGTATTCACCAGAGAACATAAACAGCATTCCTCATGTTGGGGCCTTAGGAATTCTGAAACTGTTTCTCCCAATACCTTTGAAACATGGCATGAAACTGCAATCAATAGTGAGCATATAAAAATAATTGGAATGGCTCATGACCAGGGAATTCTCGGGCTGCAATAAAACAATGCATGAAATACTGTATATTGGGAGTGTTTATTCCTACAGAAATCTGTTTTTAAAAACTTGTTTTTGTTGTGGTTTGATTTGTTGAATGAACATTATGTAGACAGGATTATCTGTCATCAATACAGTAACTACTTTTCTGAGTTCTTGTGAATTTATTTTCACAGTAACAATACAGTATCTAGTTGTTTCATCTTCTGCTGTCCTCTTTTTTGCTTTTAATTTTGTCTCTCATCTTCACATTGTTTCCAAAATTTTCAAAAGCTTTAGCTTTTATTTTAGTATTTCCTCTGTCCCAGTAAGCAGTTTGGGTTTGTTTCCTCTAGTGAATGAAGTATTTATCCTTTGCATGGTCTAATTCTCAACAATTTTCTCCAATAGCACAATTCATTTTTAGCCAACTTTCACAGTCATATTCCTATTGGGGAAACCAAATTTCTATGTGTATGTGTTAAGTTCCTTAATATAATCCATTATCTGGGAAAATGCTTAATTCCTCCTCTCTTTTGACCTCACTCCATACTCAGTCACTAGTGTGCAAGCGGCAAAACAATCTCCCAGAGCTGACTGTAAGGAGATAATTGTATGATTTGGAATACTCTTCTGTTTAGCATGTGCCCAATTTAATCAGAAGTACTATGGCAAAATGTACAGACTTCCCTTTCTATCAAGATAGTGTAAGTATCTCCGATGATGAAGCTTCTCGAGGCAGATCGCACCCCAATCTAGTGCAATAACCACATTTCAATATCAGACCCTGAGGCCCTTAGTTAGCCACGAGGAATTTTGATGTATAACAGAGAACCAGTTTTGGAAAAACAAAGTCCAGTTGCCTTTAGAAAAAAGCACCTTTGGGACAATCTTGATCTGGATGACTGAGAATCTCCATAGGCAAAGGCCTATTTGTAACCCAGCAGGAATGTTCATTCACTGTAATGTTTGTAACGATATATTCGAGCGGAAGGCACCCTTGAGCTCATGCCAAGCTCGATGCCACCTACCAACCCTCTATAATCAAGAGATCGTGACTCAAAGGAAGCTTCCTCGAGAAAGAAACAAGGAACCTCCTCCTCCCCCCCCCCCCCCGCGTCCGGCCGCTGTCACACCCACTCATTAGTCCGGGTCGCCAGACGTCGCCTCAAAATGCAACGGTGGGTTGGGCGAGTAACGTGGCCTTCGCCCTCCCCCCTTAGCGTCACGTGTGATTCCATTTTCCCCTCGCCCCCCCTCCCACTCCGCGCTGCCTTGTTGCTGTTTTAGCTCTTAGACTTAGCCCAACAGGAGGGGGGAGGAGCTAGAATTTCCGCAGCGATCTCGTGCGTCACTGCTGCTTCTCCCTCCCTCCGCCTCCCCCCGCCCCCCGTTGAGTCCCGCGCTGGCTGCCTGGCCATCCCATTCAGTTCACTTAACCGCCGTCGCCGCCGCCAACGGTCGCTGGTTGCTGCTCCTTGCGTCTTTCCCGGTTGCATCCGGTTGAGAGGGATAACAAGGTAAGGGATGAGGAGGTCCCGCTGCCCCTCGACGGGAACGCGACCTTGCGTCAAATGGCCGGTTTAGCTGAGCGGGGCTCGAGGGGCCGCATCCTTTCTTTTTCCGTTCCTCTCCGCCGCTTCGGGTCCTGTCCTTTCCCGACCTCCATCCTTCGTTGCTTTTCCTTACCGGCTGCCTCTTGGTCCCTTTCCTGTGCCGGCATTGCTGTGAGCCTGGATAGCTCACCCAGACGACCGTGAAGCCCTAATTTAGATGCGTTTGTGTGGCTTCGGTCCTTCGCGTGCATTCTTGCCCAGGCAAAGTCATCTGGGGAAGTCTCCCGAGCCCCTTCCGCCGCCACAACCCCCCACCCCCCGTTCCCAGGCCAAGCGCTGGTTTTTCAAAGCCTAAGCAATGGGAGAAGGCTCGGGTGGGATTTTTTTCTTATGGGAATGGGGATTCTCCTCTCCTCAGCACGGATGATGTTACCTAGTTTGGGTAAACGTTGGAACGTCTGCAAGAAAGCAAGCAAGCTCTGAGAGCACCAAGGACCCCTCTTGTCAATCCACATATTCTCCTTTATTGATTCTCCCTTATTGATTCGCCCCTCTCCATAAGCCAACTGGGAAAACTGGTACTTCTTAAGTGCCTGATTCCATCATAATCAGAATAATAATAATAATGGAGAAAGAGGAGGTGGGGGAACAATTTGATAGAACTAAATGGTTCTAAATGGTTGAATTGCAGTTTAAAACAAACGGGAGGAGGATGCTTTGGGGGTATGACTGAAACATCTGACCTGTTTTATACAGTATTACAGTATACAGTGCACTTACTATAATTAGTTCCTTATTGTCACCATAGCAATGATTGCCTTGCTATTGCTAAAATTGTTATTAAAGTTAAAAGGAACGGTGGTTTTTCGATTTGAAGCAACCTTTGGTGTGATCTTGGTTTGAAACAGGATTAAGTCCCTCAGTATAATGATTGCATTTTGAGGGTTTGTTACTTTTGCTTTCATTGTCACCCTGGCTTTGCCTAGTTTCCGCATAGCCCAGTCTTTCATTAAAACAATGATAATAGAGCCTGTTGTGTTTGAGAACAGTTATATTTCATTGTGATAATTGGGCTTAAAGTTCTCAGATAAATTTGGAAATGTAGAAATAGGCAAATATCTAACTAGTAAGTTTTATAAGACCAACCTGCTAAGGAATTTATTGGATTGGAGTAGTTTTTGTAAGATATTTCTAGAACATTTAAAAAGCTTGCATTGGATTAATATAAAGTCTGAAAGTGGTAGGTTAATATTTGAAATAGATCATAATGTCTCCATTCAGCAAATGTATCCTATTCTTGGATCATATCTTTGGATACTTTTTCAAGCTTCATTCCAATTACCAAAAAATGTAAACTTTTGGCAAATTCAAACATAAATAGTCTATAATTATATTTGTTGTCAATAACCATAACTTTTGCCTATAGAATTTCTCAGTATTTTTTTTCAGACTTCACTAATATATTAAGTAAAGCCTGTTCCAGTACAGATTTAAAAAAATGAATTTCAGAGGGTTAGACCAGACTTGTCAGGGAGCAGCATGGTTACCTAGAGGTAGAGCTCTCGCCTCCCAAACAGGAGGCTGTCAGTTCAGTTCTAGAGGGACAGATCTGGGTGCAAAGAAACAAGTATCTGCTGCAAACTCCATGTAGGCGTCAAGAAGGGCATCCGGCCAGTAAATGCTCAGATCCATTCAGTCACCTTGATTCCATCAGGAGGCAAGAGGATTATAGAGTCATTAAAAAAAAAAAGACCAGACTTTCTCAACCTTGTTACCCTGAAGAAACCCTTGAAACAGGTCTTACTCCTGCATAAAAAAACAACAACCTTCAGTTCACACGGTTAATGTGATTCATAAACTGAATTGTGGCATATAAAATTTTACCACCACTGCAGTTGCTAGCATTGAGCAAAATTAAAACACAATGTTTTTCCATCACAATCTTGTGAAACCCTCATCAGTGGTGATCACTCATGAAACCCCAGTTGAGAAAGGCTGCTCTAATGTCAAAGAAGGAATGTAACATATGATTTTCTACATTGTCAGTCAGCTATGATAAATTATATTCCTTTCATAAATTTCAAACATTTCATAAGTATTGTATTGGCACCCATTAACTGATTAATAGTGATCCCTATTCAGTGTATGATTAAAATAAAAATAAATAAAAGCTTTTCCTACTATTTTAAAATAAGAATTATTTATATCCATTTGGCATGAGATATAAAATCTTTTCCTTTCCAGTAAGGCTCAAATATTTTGTATTGCCTTTAGTGCTAGAAATACAATAAGAATTCTGTTATGGGTAGTGCTTGCTAAATAACCATTTGTTCAGTGACTGAAAGATATAGCAGCACTGAACAAATGATACTTCTGCCTTCAGCAGTCTCAGTCAGCTGCTGCTACCCTTCTGTCTGTACTTTAGCTTCAGTGGTGGTGGGGCCTTCACCAAGGTGGGCCACCTCAATCCAGTGCAAAGGACCAGCCACCTCCGCTGGCCTTGCTGTGCGCAAATGACCTTTGCCTATATAAGGCAGCTGCTGGCCATGCCAAGCCTACTCCCCAAGCTGAGCATGTTTTCAAAATTGTACGCATCCTTGCGATGCTTTGGAAGGTTTCTGAGAAGGTCTCGTGTGATTTGGAGAATGATGGGCATGGCCTTCTCATGAGGTTTCAGAAGGTCTCAGAAGCCTTTCAAAGGATTACGAAAAGGGCACACTTGATTTGAAGAATAGTCTACATGACCTTGGGGAAAAAAAACCTGGAATGGCCAGCAGCTATGGAGCCAGGGCTGGTGGTCCTCATCAGCAGTGGGAAGAAGGCAGTGAAGGTCATTTGGGATGGCAGGGACAGTGGAGTGCAGGACAATGAGGATGGCTGGGGCTTTGTGCTGAGGTAGCTGGTTGCAGGGCAGGTCTTGAAGTGGCACTCCTCAATGGACCAGTGGCGCTGGGGCTGAAATAGAAACTTTGGGTACCAGTGGCTGCCTAAGACTATTGAAGTCTCTGGACCTCTGCTTTAAACCCAGGGCCATTAGTGTTGCTACCACTGCCAATGAGTGCTGCTTTGCAGGGCGGCCAAAATAGGGGGAGCTCAAGAAAATGCAGTCACTTTATCAAGGTTTGGGACTTGGGAGAGACCAAACCAGAAATGTCTTATATCAGATTGAATCCTTACCTAATATCTGGGGGGATTTGGTTAATAATAGCAAAGGGACTGATCAGATTTCTGTCACTAAGCAATGCAGACGTGTGATGTGCTTTACAATCATATTGCTTAGCAACAGAACTTCAAGTCCCTGTTACAGTCATAACCCAAGTACTACCTTATTTCATATGGCCTAGATTTAATTTATGGATAAAAAAGTGACTATATTATTATTTTTTTAAAACTGGGAGAAGTAGTTTTTTTCCTCTCTTTTATTTTCTCTTCATTTCTGTTTCTTGGTTTTTACTGTTTTGTTAGTCTAGTTTTTGTGATAAATGAAATGAAACATATTGATTTGATTGGCAACTGTTATTATTCATATTGCTTTAATTATTTTTGGGGTTGGTCACTGGCTCAAGGTTGACTCAGCTTTTCATCCTTCTGAGGTCCGAGGACCCAGATTATTGGGGGCAATATGCTGACTCTGTAAATTGCTTAGGGAGGGCTGTAAAGCACTGTGAAATGGTATATAAGTCTTAAGTGCTATTGCTAATGAAAGCCAGTTTAGTATAGTGGTTAACACATTAGTTTAACCAGGAGATTATGGGTTTCAGTTTCACTTTATGTACAAACCCAGTTTGCTGACCTTGGGCCAGTCACTTTTTCTTCAGTCATAGGAAGGAGGCAATGGCAGACCACTTCAGGAACTTGATTATTTCGGAGAAAAAGTAAAGTGGCTACCAATACTTGTGGCCGAATTTGTACACATAATTGTAGGCAGCCACAATATATTTGATTGGATATAGCAGCACATCAATGTGCTTAATTAGGTAAAAAATTAATAAAGCAATACTATGATATAATGAGGACAGTGCTACCAAGACAGTGGCATGTTTGAGAGGATAGGCAGTTCGTGGACATAGATTCTCTTTAGGGAATATTTTGAAGAGTTTATCTTGTAATGACTTTGCTTTCCAGAGCCTATGCTTGTTACCAGTATCTTCCTTCCAATTTTGTGCATTCCTTGACCTTGTTTTATGGCTGAGCTGACAGAGTTCATGGTTTGTAAGTCCCTGTGTAGGTTAAAAGGAATGAGAATGTTTGTTTTGTTGCCCTAACTCTCACACATTTTTCTCCTTTATAATATTATAGAATAACTAGTGGCAACAGAATTACTTATCAGATCTACATAAAATAGATATAATTTTTTTTTAAAAAAACCTTGAATAATAGATAGGTTGTGAAAGCATAGAACAACTTAACATGTACTTCAATATTGTATGTCTTTAAATATTAACTAAAAGGAGGGATTTTTTTTGGCCATGCTGTGACTTCCATTTGTTTTTAGCTATCACTGAAATAAAAGCTTTAAAAAAAACCTTGGTGAGAGCAGAGTCTGGGATATGGGGGATGGATGCTGAGAGTCTGGATTCTGCATTTGGTGGGAGTGGAGTTGGAAGAGGGGGAGTTATTTGAGTGTTGGTGGTTGCATTTAGGATGGCATGGTGGCTGCAAAATCTATTGCGAAGTAAAGCCTTTATATTGTTAGAGGTTATTGAAAATAAAGAGGTGATGGAGAAGAGAAGAAGAGGTTAGTAAGATAGCACTTTCCTCTAAGCCAGTGGTTCTCAACTTTTTCTTCATTGTGGACCCTCTTTAAATATCTTTTGTGGTCACGGATCACCAAGACTTAACTCAAGATTTAAATCATAACATTTCTTCAAGCCTTCGCAGACCCTCTGTGATGACATTGTGGCCCTGTAGGGGTCCATGGATCACAGGTTGAGACTCATTGTTCTTAGCAGACCACAAGAATGACAGCATGAATGGAGTTGAGGACTTAGAAAAGGTTTCATTAAATCAGGACTGTGATGGGTCTGTACTAGAGGCTACATGTTAGATCTGATCTAACTTAAAATAGAGTCAGTTTGGTCTAATGATTAAGGCACCAGGCTAGAAACCAGGAGACCATGAGTTGTATCCCACCTTAAGCAAGAAAGCCAACTGAGTGACTTTGGGCCAGTCACTTTCTTAGCCACAGAGTCAAAGTCAGGCTCAGATGAAAAGCCAGTCAGTCAATTCCTTTGGCAACCAAATGAATATTTAATATTAAATCCTTTAGTTGATCCTTGCTTAAAAAGATGCACAATAGTGATTATACACTTGTGAATATTAAAGGTAAATGTGACCAGTGCATGAGCAGAGAACAGTGATTGTCTGCCGTTTCCTAAGTTTATAAACTAAGTGTTAATTCTGAGTTTCCACCTGACTAAGGTACCGGTACATAACATGTGTTTTGTGTAACTAACCTTTGATTTGTTTAGACCCCACACATGTATTACCAAGATTATTTTGCAATTCATTATAGTAAATGGGTTTGAACTTTAGTCTCATAACATTTTTCAAAATTCTTAAATAATTGAAAGTGTACTTTTGACATTTTTGACAATACACATTACCTCTTTTACTCTGAAGTTATGATTTATTTTTATTTTCAGTATCTTACACATAACCACAGATCACAATTATCAGATGGATTATAAATTAAAATTTATGATAACATGGTTGTGCATTGGCTTTTTTAATTTAAAGATCTTTGTATTTGGAATAATATTTTCAATCAACATTTCTTTTTAGCTTTAAAATATGAATTATGTTGGACAGCTTGCTGGACTTCTGGTTACTATGAAGGAATTGTATAAAGGCATTAATCAAGCTACACTTTCAGGATGTATTGATGTAATTGTAGTTCGGCAGCAAGATGGTACATACCTATGCTCACCATTCCATGTCCGATTTGGAAAACTTGGTGTCTTACGTTCAAAAGAGAAAGTGGTGAGTACCATGAATATCAGAGACTAGGAAAACAAAATACCTTTCTTTGCCAGTTGTAATATAAATTATGCTGTTATTGAAGTACATATTTTTTCCAGATTCAGTTAATACTTGTAAAGTAGGATAGGCAGGGAAGCCTTGTTATACAATAGCAAAGTTCTGTTCTGTTATCCAGTACAGCCAAGATCTTTAGAGGTCTTTAGAAGTCTGGCCATAGAAAGCATAACAATAAAGGGCATAAACATCAGCTATATAATGGTATAACTGATGCATTCCACAATCATAACTATTAACAATTGCATCATGATAATAAAGAATGAGATATGATATTAAATGCAAGTAAGCATAAGTACAAATGGAGAATGCAACCGCAGTTGTCAAATACAAACTATTTTCTTTATTCTTTCATTTGGCCTGCCTTATTGCCAGTTCTTCCCTTCTTCCAAGAGGGGGCTATTGATGCTCTTCCTTTTGTGTGTGTGTTCATTTACATAGTTTTGTATTTTAACCTTTTAAAATTACTATTGTAGTTATTTTTGGTTATTTTGTTGTATTATTTTATGTTTTAACTTTGTGCACCACTCAGAGCGGAATGAGCAGCTCAATAAACTTACCAAATAAATAAATAAACATGGTATATTGGTAATTCTCTTGTTTCAGTGGTTTAGAATTAAAAGAATAATATATTGATTAAATATAAACATACATTTTCAGGTGCATTTTTATTGCAGCAAGTGTTCTGTTGTATTTTTTTATAGATTGATATTGAAATCAATGGTGAAGCAGTTGATCTTCACATGAAACTAGGTGATAATGGAGAGGCCTTCTTTGTGCAAGAAACAGAAGAAAAATTTGTAAGTCATCTAACAAATGTAACTTTATATAATTCTAATATTTGGGCAGATGTTTGCTTTTTATTTATATATATTTTGCAAGCCAACTGAATATTTTAACCTTTATCTTTTATCATTTTCTTCCCTTTTATTCCATTACTTGCTTAGTTTTTATTTAATTTTCCCTTTCTCTTGTTTATTTTTATTCCTGGATATTTTTAGTCTCCTATACATTCTGTTTCTCTCTTTCACACATAACATGAGATACCAATCAAGGAATATTCAGTAATAATAAGGAATGTAACTCAAAACAGTAATAAAAACATTAACATAAGACAGCAGTTAAAAATATCCATGAAAAGTAAACAATAGAATTAAGAAAGACCTTATGTCTCTTTTGCTATTTAGGGAATCTTCTGAGATGATAGTGGATAGATCCCTTCAAAACTAGTAAACATGTAGCACGCTCCCAACTAGGTCTGCATTGAAGTTCCATCCTGTGGAGGTTTTTTACTAGCTTACATAGATTTTGAACCCTAGTTAAGTACATCTGCTTTTCAGTGATGTCATTTCCCTGGAGTTTTACAAGAAAAGGAAGGCAAATCTCTTATTTTGGAATGCTTTAGCTTTCTGCCAAAAATGAGACCATCAAAGCTAAAGAGTCCTTGTTTTTATCAAGTGGTGATAAGACGGACTCAGTATCTGTTTCTTAACATTAATTGGATTGAAGATGAGAAATCCCACTCTGCACAGCTGACAATCTTTCAGTGAAACCACCACCCCTCACTTCTGAGATTCTTAACTTCCAGATTACCCTCATTAGGATTCATAAACATGTTTACAATTAATTCAGTCTTTCAGTCTTTTCAAATCTTTTAATCAGCATTTATCTATTAAACCATACAGATTTTTCCAAGTATTTCTAATTTTTTGTCAGTCCAAAATAATAGAATAGGAGAAGCCGACTATATTGGTCTTGCTTTTCATTTTTTTTTAAACAAAATGCACTTCCAAATAAAACAAAAAGGATCTCTTTGGAATCATCAAAGCTAATTATAGTTGTGAGGTGCAAAATTGCTGAATCTTTGTAATTTTTGCCTTAAATAAATAAGGGTGATAGAGTATGAAATTCAACAGTGCATATAGATATGGAATGTGCATTCATCAACCATTTTTCTGTTGTGGAATTAAGATAAGAAGAATTTTGAAATTTTTTCTTCCGTTTTCATTATTTTTTTTTATTATGACTTACATATTTTAATTTTGATCATTTGCTTTAAACAAATCTGTTTCAGTCAAATGTTATGAAACTGTCCTGTTTTTACCAGGCTATAATAATTAATGAATATTGAGGATTTCAGGCTAAACAGTGGTTAGAAAAAGTGTCCCTTAGTTCTGTTAGGCAAGTATGCCTTTCATGATGAGAAAAAAGACAGTATCAAAGTCTTAGTGAATGTCTGGATATCATAATACTTCTATATCTGTTTCTATTGTCATCAGTGTTAATTTCTGAGTTAAATAATGTAATAATTTCATACAATATATATAACATATGAAATTCATGTTCACCTAAATGATTTCTAGGAAAACGTTCCATCCTATCTGGCAACATCACCGATACCAACAGAAGATCAGTTCTTCAAAGGAAATGATGACAATTTGATGAAGTCAGGTGAAAATGAAACCATAGATTTAAGCTTAGAAATTCCACAAATTGTAGAAACAGAGCCTTTTTTCCCCTCTGGGTCAGTGAAGAAAAAAAAACGAAGAAAAAGAAAATGTAAACAAGATGTAAAAAAAGAAGAACAATTCTCTTCTCTTGGAACTGAGGAAATCTTTGAAATGGAAATAAGTTCAGATGATGACAGGTGTATTCAGCCTTTAAGGTACTTTTTTAAAAAGGTCTGCTTGGTTAGATTGACACGTTGTAAAACATTCAGTAAGAATTTATATAAAGTCCAAAATTAAAAGAGTAGTTTTTATTTTATTAATTCAACTCATTAAAAAAAAACTTTAAGTTTAATTTATCTTTCAAAATTCATATTGAAAGTACTATTTGTAATAATAACTTTAAATAATAACTTCAAAGTAGCTAATGGAATAAGTAATGAGCAAGATTAAATACCAGTAGGTATGTTTGCTACAAACACAGATTTTGTAAGTGCTTTTTAACAAGTAAAAAAATTATTACTTTTACTATCAAATGAGAAACATGGAAAGGTAATCTTTTCATAAGTTTACAACTTTAAATAATTTATCTCGTTAATATTAAGTAACCATTTGTGGAACTTTGTAAGGATTACAATTGAAATATAAAACTTCTATAAAGATTCTTATATTTACAACAAGGTAGATCTTTTTTGCATAAATATTAGGATATATTAATACATACTTAAAAATAGGTGTATATATAGGCTATTTTTCAAGATCCACTATAAAGCCCCAAATATACACCATTCTACAGAGATCTTTACTATATAGACTTGAAAGTGTATCAAGGAGCAAAGACAATTAATGATCTTTTAAGCTTTGATCTATTAAAAAATGTAGCTAAAACAGAATTGTTAACTGAATTGCTGATATTGGGATGAAAGTGTCTACCAGCTTATCCTTTTTCCCATGTGAATCTGTGTGTTAAAATAGGTTGTTATTTAATGCTGTCATTTCATACTAAATTAAAATTCCTTTAATACATGAATACATGAATACTGTGTTACAGAAGCATTGCAGATTCTCCACCAAAGGTTGAAGAATATAATGATACGTTGATTTATCCTTCAAAGGATGATTACCCTTTATCAGACGGAGATTGGTCTGTTTCAGAGAAGTAAGTCATCTTCATGTATCATTCTTTTATGAAAATGGTATTAAGGGTTAAATAGGGGGCGTGCATAAGCGCACCAACGTGCCTACCGTCCCTATCCTACTGTATCCATTTCATGTATTCATAACTATGTTTATACTTACACCTGTTCTCTTATAATTGCTTGACAAAATAAAAATAAAATAAATAAATATTTTTCACATAAAGTCTGCAGAAGAAAAATCATTCAGTTGGTAACTGTGGACTGCCTCCACTTTTTGGTATTGTTAGGGATCATGCATTTTGAAACACTACTCTGTTCTATTCTTAAGATTCATTGCAGAAACTTTCTGACAGATCAGCTCTTTAAGTTTAGAATTGTTCTTTTTAAAAACGTGGGTGCTTTTCATATATCCTTAAATTATCTTACAATTCAACTTCCCTTTTCTTGTTAACTCAGAAGCAGCATAGGTGTCTGTGAATGGAGAGAACATATGAGAAACATATGAGAAATATATGGTAACATTGTGATGCAAATTCTGCTCCTTATGTATTATATTGCAATGCAAATATGAAAGGACAGAGCATGTGTTGTGATATCAAGATGCATATTCATAGTTTTTGAATCATCACGGTTAGATTATATGATATTTAAATTTTGTAGTGTAGGGCCATTGATCTCTTTTTGCTGCCCTTTCCAAGTATATGGAAGTAGTAAAAACAAAAAATATTACTGTTGAGACTGAAAGAGAGGGTGAGCAGAAGAGTAAAGGAATATAGCCAATTCCATGCCTTCCTCCCAAAATAAGATATATTTTAGTGTAAATTATGTGTAGTCAAATCAATGGTTTTTTTTATAACTTTTGAATCTGTTTTATGTATGAAAAAAGAATTCTACATGCATCGGAAGTAACTACGTGTGAACTGAAATGAGGCTTATCAGGGCAGACATATTAGTTGTGCTGATAAAAGGATTCATTCTGATTTTTAACATTTCATTTACCATTCATTTCACATAATTGAATTAATACTAGTACAGTAGCACTTGGTTTGAGAGAATTCTGGCTTCTGCAGATTTTGCTAAATTTCTGTTGAATGTATTGCTTTGTTTCTAGTTAAATCTGTTACATAACAATATGGCAAGGGATTGTAGGTAAACCTGTTTTGGTATTGAAGCATACTTTTATAGCATTTAATCTGAAAAGCAGTAAAACATAATAAAAAAGATAAAAAGATAAATGTTCACACTGCTATTATTTTATTTTAATTTTCTAGATCAGTCTAAACACCAGTTTGGCTTTGTGCTTTACTGCTGAATGTTAATTAGAGAACATTCTTTGTGTAACCTTGTACAATAAAGGCCTTTCCTTTGTTTTAACAGCCCTTTTAGCCAGCCCACTTGTCCTAAAAGTGATTCAGAACTGGAAGTTAAGCCTACAGAGAACTTACTTATTAGAGGAGAATCTCACATGGAATGGACTTGGGGAGGTTTTCCTGCATCTACCAAGGTAAACCTCTTTGCAAATCATTCTGTTTTCTGAAAACTTTTGATAAATAAAGCAGGAATGTGTTTATCAGTAGTAATGTTATGAATCATTTTCTGAAGACATAAATGAAAGGAGCTGCCATTTGTGGTTCAGTATAGGTCATTTTATAAAATAGTCAAAACATGTACAAATGTCAAAACATGTACAAATATCAACAAATAAATGCTCTGTCCTACATATTGGCAAAAAAAAATCAGAAAATAAAATACAGGCTGAATAGTCAAGACCTTGCTGATGATCCAAACTCTGTCAAGGATCTTGGAGTACTCATCTCTAATAATCTAAGTGCTAAAGCCCACTTTAACTACATAGCCAAAAAGGCGTTAAGAGTTGTTAATCTAATCTTCCGTAGCTTTTTCTCTGGTAATATTACACTAATAACTAGAGCATACAAAACATTTGCTAGACCAATACTTGAATGCAGCTCATCAGTCTGGAACCCACATTACGTATCTGATATTAGCACAGTTGAGAAAGTCCAGAAATATTTCACAAGAAGAGTTCTCCACTCCTCTACTCGTTGCAGAATACCTTATGCCACCAGACTCAAAATTCTAGACCTAGAAAAGCTAGAACTACACCGCCTTCGGTCCAATCTAAGTATAGTACGTAAAATCATACATTGTAATGTCCTATCTGTCAATGAAGCTTCAACCATAACAACACAAGAGCAAACAATAGATACAAACTCAAGGTTAACCACACCAAACTTGATTGTAGGAAATATGACTTCAGCAACAGAGTGGTCAATGTCTGGAATATTCTACATGACTCTGTGGTTTCTTCCCCAAACCCCAAAAACTTTAACCTTAGACTTACTATTGACCTCACCCCTTTCCTAAGAGGTCTGTAGGGGATGTGCATAAGCGTACCATCATGCCTACCGTCCCTGTCCTATTGTTTGTTTCTTTTATGTAAAGAAAGCATCTAAAAGAGTGTTACTTAAGGTCAAGGCAACAAAACTTCCCTCCCCCAACTTTTGCCTTTTTGAGCAATTTGGGAAATTCTTCTAATTGTAATGATTTTCTTTGATCTATTCTAAACCTTGAAATTTGGTATCACTAGTCTATGTGATTAAGTAAACTTTGCAAATGTTTAAAATAAATTGCCATAAGCTCAGCAAGTAAAATAGTGCTAAAAGTTGTGCTTATTTGTTGAACTCCCGCTTTTCTACAGACATAATATATATGGGTTTCAAATTTTAGAATTTTATTTAGGCTTGCAGGAATTATTTTGCTTAGTCAAGTCCTAAACAGTAGTTTAAAAGTTATTGAAGTCTACCATCATGATTAAAGCTTATGTAGCAAACAGTAGGAAAGACTTTATTTCAGTTGAATTAGAATGCTACCAGTACAGTGTGAGCCACCTAGAGGATTCTATATGAATTACATGTATTTTATTACAGAGCATGGATTGTCAAGGACCAAGCTACATTTTACTTAAAATATATCACTTGAAGCTGCTTCTCTGTGTTTGATTACTTACTCATTGATAATGTACCGTGGTCTTCTTACAAGAAGAATATGATATAAATATAAGAAGTAACCAACTATGGCGTAATAAGCTGGTCTTGGATCACACATTTTCTGTCACTATATTTTGTGAAAATAGCAAGAAATTTGGGGTCGTGAAAATTTGTTGCATCTGGTACAAACAATAAACAGATTAGAGCACCTTATAGAAATAGTGAAATTTAAGGTACAGAATAGTTTATAAATCAATAAAGTACCAAGATTTAACATTTTACTTTGTATTTTTGAGATAAATATTGATGACAAATTCATTTGTTTTATTTGTGAAATTGATTTTTTTCTTATAAATTGATGATATATAGATATTATATAAAAATGATAAAATAAATTCATGTAAACATTAAAATAAATATATGGGACTAGTAATGAGAAGTTTAACCATTTAAATTTTTGCGCAGAGACCCATAATTGTTGAAGTTTTCTTGCGTTTGTTTTTTCCTAATTCAAATTATAGAAAGGGTTTTTTAAAATTCAAACTGATTTATGTAATAAATATTAATCAATATTTATAATTTATTAAAAACAATCTTACATGCTTTTTAAAACATGAGTATAGATTATACATGTAATAGGTTGTAAGTTTCGTGAGGCTGAGTTAAAGGACAAGCAGCTTGCCAATTATTGCAAGTTTTTCACTGATTAAATTGACAGTATGGGAAAAATAATTATACTTTTATCAGTGATTTGACTCTTAATATGAGATTGCTTCTTACTGAGCCAACGCATTATTGTAGAATCTATTTCTCTAGGACCTGTTTTAGAGTCACAAACGGAGAAAACTTTACTGAAAAAGATATTGAAAGAGTTTGAGAATAAAGATCATATCCAAACTGGAACAAACAAGATATCTATATTTTCTATAACTTATTTTATGATAGATCATCATAGTCAAACATCCTTCAAGCTTTGCTAATGTATAGGTTTGATCAGTTCTCAGAGACCTGAACTGATCAGCACAGATGATGAATAACAATTTTAGAAAAAGGATGCTTTCCTTTTCAGATAAGCAAGAAAGAAAAACTGGAACATCCCAGAACAGCTACCATCACTCCATCAGAGAAGACTCATTTTAGGGTAATATCTAGCAGTGATACAATTGAAGATGATGTTCTGATGAATGATTCAGTTTGTACAGTTTTAAAACCGGAGCCAAGAACACACCCGCTACTTAAAGAGCGAGATATCAAAGACAGACTTACTTCTGCAGGAACAGAGCCTGTTCTGGACATTCTTGAACATTCTCCTGTCTTAACTTCTGATATACTCCCAAGCCCACTTGTGGAGTCACCATCAGAAATTAAGCCACCATCAAAGCTTGATTCTCCATCAAAGAAAAAAGGTATACACTTTTAAACTAATTTCTTTTTAACGTTTTGAAATACTTTTCTGTTTTTCCTAGCTTTCAGACTTTTAATCAGTTTTGAGAGGTAAGCAACAAATGTATATAGTAGCTTTGCTTGCAACCATTTTTTTAATCTAGAATAAAGAATAATTTGTATGTCTGATATGAGCATTTTGATTTTACATATACCATAATGTAATTGTTTTTCTATAAAATTACAGAACAAAATATTCATCTCCTTAATCCTGGTAGCCAGCTTAGTGCTAGTTGCACTAGTGTCCTCACAAATATCCATTAGTGGCCTTGTCCATATGTTTTAAGATACTTTTAATAATAAAAATCTAAATAGGAAGCAAACCTACTACTAAGCTCCACCTAGTAGATACTATCTACTTATCTTAATTATCTTTATAGTAATGCCTATGTGCCTCAAAGCTCTGACTGGGATGGTAGAGAACATCATAGGGAGCTGTTTTGCTTTCCAGTAAATGAACCTTTTGTGAGTGGTAATGGCAGTCATTTTTGAAGTTACCACTATACTCATTTTAGTAGTATAGCTAATCCTCTACTTATTTCATAATTGGAACTGGAACTTCTTCCAGTGCTAAGCAATGCAATTGTTAAGTTAATCATGCCAGATTTTACATCTTTTTGCTCTGGCTTCCTCCATTTACTTTGTCAGAAATTCCCTGGGAATGTTGTAAATGGTATCATATGACTCCAGGATGCTGTAAATACATTCCAGTTGCCAAGTGCCTGAATTTTAAATGTCACTGCAGAGATTGTACAACAGTCTTAAGTGAGAGGACTGTTCATAAATAAACTTCAGATGGTGGTTAAATGAAGGGTCATAAATCAAGGACTACTTGTATATGTGCTCTTAAAATTACAAATTTTAGAATTTTGTTTATTTGCCATATATCTCCATCTTTTTTTTCCTTCTTAAGAAGCCTAAACGGGGAAGACAGTTTCTTTTTGAACAATATGGGATAAGAATCAAACAGTATATACGCAGAACTATGTTGTTTAGCTTGCTAGTTTGCTTCTTATTGACAAAATGTAATGGTAAAGGGCTTTTTTCCCCTACAGAAGCATTTCCCTTGAAGCTTCTTTTCCTACTGTATTTTTTAGACTCCTCAGTTGATCAATATAATACTTTTACTTTTTAGGGATACATAAAAGAAGTCAGCACCAAGGACCTGATGACATATATTTGGATGATCTGAAGGCTCTAGAACCTGAGGTTGCTGCTCTTTATTTTCCCAAAAGGTATTTAACAAAAATCTAAATATTGCAGCCAACATTTCAGAAACTTCGTATATTTAATATCTCTTTTAAGAATATGTATGGAATCAAAGAGAATCTGCTAAAGGCATTCTTAAACTGTGATGTTTTAAACTGTTTAACTGCTCTCTTTAAGTAGCAGTTGTATATTTCACCCTGTTATTTTTTTTTCAATAATCATCCTTTTTATAATTTACCCTGATACATATGAATAAACTTTAGGCTAGTTTGAAAAATAAGTTTTTAATTCATCATAGCTCCTCATACAAACAATATTAGATATGGAGGATGGAAATGTCTTCCCTAACTTTTTAATAATTGCATAGCTGACTATGAGAGTCTTCTGGTCAGATATAAGTGATCTTATAAATTCACTTGTTTAGTGACTGTCCAAAGTTAGGTTGGTGATGAATGAGGAGCACTTATGATGGGTCCTTATAGTTGCAGCCTTTGCAACTTCCTTGGGGTCACATGATTATGATTTGGGCACTAGGCAGCAAGCCTGCAATTATAACATTCCAATGTCGTATGTGATCACATGATTACCATTTATGACCTTCATTGCTGGATTCCAACAAGAAAAGTCAATGGGGAAGCTGGCAAGAGGTTGCAAATGGTAATCACATGACTGAGAGACTGAAACCATGCAGGATTCTGTTAACAATGGAAACTGGGGATGCTGGGATTGTCAGTAAGTTGACACAGACATAATGTCACACCTTAGGATCACAGTAGTTAGCAACACTGCTAACTTTAGTCCCAGTTAAGATTATATATAATTCTACAACTCAAATAACTGAGAAAAAAATGCAATGACAATCTTTGTACCATACTTGATAGGTGAATGTTGCTCATTGCAAGAAGAGTTTGAACAGATCAGCCTTTGTTCTAATTGCATAAAATAATTTCTACAAATTTACAGTGCAATGAACATCTAAATGATTTTAAAATGGCTGTATAAATAATACTTAAGTTTTTTGTTTTAGAACTTGTTGTCAGTTTTGTACATTTATATATATATATAATTTTATTTTTCATGATTTTATTTTAATTTCTTTCAGTGTGGTGAGGTGTAGTTGAGAATCAGGCAGCATGCAAGTTTAATGAATTATTACCATTGTGATGGTTGTAAAAGGCTTCTTTTATGCTCTTTAGTGATTCTGATCCAGGTACTAGACAGTGGTTGGAGTCTGACACTTTCTCTGGTTCCCAGTCTCCACAATCAGTTGGAAGTGCTGCTGCAGACAGTGGTACTGACTGTATGTCTGATTCTGCCATGGACTTACCTGATGTTACATTATCTCTTTGTGGAGGTCTTAGTGAAAATGGAGAGATATCTAAAGGTATATTTTTATCCTATTGCTACTTATATAACTTGGCGAGGTGAAATGAATACAAAAATCTGCAGTATGAAGCTGCGAAAGTGTACATGTAAGAGAGAAGCTTGCTTTCTGAAGATAATTTCTATGTAGACACGCAATGTGAAAACTGTTTAATTGTATCTACTACTGGAAGTGTTTTGTACTGTTTATTTTCCTGTGCTAGAAACAGAGTATATAGAAATAGACATTTACTATATCTAGTTCAATTGTATGTTTATCTCTAATGTTCAGGAAGACAATCCTCCTAACACATTATCCTTGTTTTTGTACCTTGAATGTTTTAGTCTTTATAATGGAAATGAATGCCTTATGGATTATGTTCCTATATTTGGTGCAATGAATTGGTGGATTGATACAAACAGGCTCTGCCATGTATGGATAAAAGTTGTGTCAATTTGCTGCCTAATTTTGAAACATCGTAAGGTCATGTAAATCAGCAATCCCCAGCCTTTCTAGCTTTGTGGACCGGTGGGGGAGAGAAAATGTTTTCATCTGCATGCAAGACACTTGTGCAAATGGAGCTTTGCGTGCTCACCTGCCACTTACATGGCCTGGTTCCCAACGGGCCATGGACCAGTACCAGTCCACGGACCAGGGTTGGGGACACTTAATGTATATAGTTACATACAGTTTTCAATTATTGTAGGCACTTTTTAGATTTGTATGTACATATTCACTATACATATGTACATATTCACTATATTTCAACTACTTCAAGGAGGTACCTTGCTGAAGTAGTTGAAATATATAATGCTGCGAAATATGCTATAATATATGAACTTCTTGTACTAGAAAGTGCATGCAGTAGGTATACACAGAACATAACAAATGAATGGAAATATATTCAACAGCAAAATGAGCATAACTATGGCAAAAAGAGCATAATTATATAAGAGGAGCCAAATGAAGAGATTGCTTGTAAAGAAGATGAAACATATTTCAGTCAATTGATGAAATATCTTTGCATTGCAGAAAAATTCATGGAACACATAATTACTTATCATGAATTTGCTGAAAATCCAAGTCTTATAGATAATCCTAACTTGGTAATAAAGATATACAACAGGTAATGGTATCTAAGTCTTCTGTTGCTAAATTGTTTTATTCTAATTTTACTGTATTGACAGATAACATGACTGTCTTTTTATTACATCCTTCTTTAAATTATTTAAAATTAAAGTTTAACTTTATTCAGAAAAAATGAGAAATTGCAGCAGTTTTCATTTTACTTTCCAGGAATCTGAGAACTGTAAAAGAAATAAAACATTTTGTTTACAATGAAGAATGTATAATATATTCATAATGATAAACTGTTACATTTACAATAGGTATTATAATTGGGCATTGGCTGCTCCCATGATTCTCAGCTTGCAGGTGTTCCAGAAAAGCTTACCACAGGTAATTAAATGACAGTAAATATTCCGCGACTATTCACATTAAGTCATAGATGCAGAAACATATCAAAGTTCTGAGACAAGAAAGTGTTCAGGAGGGACAACCTGACAGAAAACACACTCAAATAGATATTCTGTGAAGGTAAAAATGCCAACTGAGATGTTAATGGTGTGCATGATGTAATTAGAGAGGGATAAGGTGGGGATGAAATGTTGAGATACAAAAGCAAAAGGCAAGGCATCATGACATTATCCTGCACATTTTGTCATTGTTCAACAATGCAGTTTGTATTGGCTGCCCATGCAAACAATATATGAAAGATTACCAAGAGATCCATGTTCAGAGCCATATTTATCTGTGAAACCCACCAGATGAGTTGTTCTCAGTCCGGACCACTTGAGACAGTGTTGTGAATATAAAAATCTAAGGTGGTCTCATATAACCTGCTGTTACCACTGAAATATCAGTGTCACCCTCAAAATTGCAATTCTTTCCCTGATACAATAGTTAATTTAGAAAGCAGCTTTATTTCTTGTAATTTGGAATTGCATTCGTACATGCATACACATTAATGGATAAGTTGTGGACAGTGTATGATATATTTAAATGAGACCCAGTTTTGGTTTGCCATATTCATTGATATATCTTTTCCCATTATTTTAATGTGGTTGGATCATCCCCTCCCCCCCCTCCAAGTTCTTAGTTGTGGAATATTTTTTTATTTTCAGTTTTTTCCAGTGAGCTGGAAGAATAATCTGCAAGTCAGAAAACATTATGAGAAATCAGTGTGCGTTGATTTGGCAATACCCTGCAATATATAATACTAAAATGTGAGTCAGGCAGAGGGAGCTGTTTCTCTTTTTCTAAAGAGAAGAAAAGAGTCCATGAAGATTATACAATTGGCTCCAAATTTAATCATGGGAAGTAGGAAGTTTAATATACCGGTAATCAAATGACATTAAAATATATATCTGCATGGTACCATGTTATGTATGTTGCAAAAAAAAAGATAACATTCTAAATGTATAATAAAAAAAATAATTTTTTAGACAACAATTGAATCCTGGATTAAAGATAAGATGCCAAAGAAGTCTGGAAGGTGGTGGTTCTGGCGAAAAAAGGACAGCTTGATTAAACAGGTAAACATTAAATAAATCAGCTGCAAATCTGGACTAGTTTAGAGGTTATATCCCAAACTTTATACTTCATAGTTCAGAAATGTGGGTTAAACATATTCAGGTATGGAGTGAATTTGTATTTGTATAATTCACTTTGTGTTCACTTGCATCACATCTCTAATAATATTAATTTAATGCAGTTTATATTTAATTTTAAACTATTTGTCATTAACTATATTGGCTGCAGAGATCTGTGCTAGGTTGGTGGGGAGGTAGAAGATAGTGATTTTATTAGTCACTTCAAACTGCTGACAATATATCTAACACTTTGCAATGTTAAAATACAGTATATGTCAGGTTAACTGAAGCTGACAACTGCAAATTAACTCAACATCAGAAATGCTACAATGCATGTTTATCATATTCCCCCATTTGTTATCAACACTGTTTACTCCACATCTTCACTCCACATCTCACATCTTGATTTTTTTTCTTTGGTGTTATCAACAGTCTAGAACTGTGAAGAAGGAAACTTTCAACATAATACCACAAAAAATAATATATTTTGAAAATGTATAAGCAATTGCAGGCATTATTTTCTAAAACTGCTAACTTATATTGCTTTAATTTTAATTGGAATATTTTATTTAAATGTAATTATTACCCTACAACCAATACTGTAAATATGCTATTAGTAGTAATTCTGTTTTAGTAATGAAATCTATTCTCCCATATTACTCTATTTTTCATATCAAATACTCTTGTATGTGTCAGTGTAATTAAAAAATTGCTGTATTTATGTGTATGTTATTTATAATTTTGGAGTCTGCTGAATAAAGTTGCATCCTGTTCTTGGTTTAGCAGTGATGTTAAACAAATTATTAAATATAATATTGATGCTATTACAAATTTTTGCAACTAGATTGATATGTAATTCCAGAAATAACAGTTATCTTTTTGTTAAGGTGACAATGCAAAATGATGTGGTGCTAACATACTTTTCTGATGCTAGCTTCCAGAAACAAAGGATGGGAAATCTGAGGCTCCAAAAAATGACCAATCAACAACTATAAAGGAACAAGTTGAAAACCGGTATGTCACTTTGAAAATCAATTTATGCTTAAAGACTCTTGCCTTTTTAGAAAATTTGATTTTTTAAATACATAATGTTTTGATGTTTTGGAAGGATTGTATGACACTAATAATATCTTTCATAAAAAAGATTTTATCCTCAGTCTGTGGAATCTTCTGGTAACGCTTTTAAAATCCCCATCCTGAACTCTGAAATGCAGTATTCAATTGTGAGCTGTATAGACTAAGAAAATTTCATCATAATACTCAATTTTAATTTTAAACAAGTGCTAGAATGCTATGGCCACTTGGCATTTTTTATTTTTCTAAAATTCAAAATGTAAAAAAAATCGGTTGAGAAACAGTTATTACCAAAGGTTAACTTCCATGACTTGAATTTGGATATCTCAGGTCCTAGTCAAGCAGCTTAGATAGCTGCACTAGTTTTAGAATACTTGTGACTAAACGATATCTTAGCGAGGATTAATTCAAGCAATGTTACAAAACCAGCTTATAAAAGTAAGCCCCTGACTTTAGAGGAGTATCCTTGAGAACATACTTCAGAACAAATGATCGTGTTATGTTGAAAAAATGATTTGTGTCTAAATTGGTTTTGTCTTGAATTAATAAAAATTCTTCCTTTTGCAATATTTGATCCAATATGCTGTTACATATTACAAGCTATCAGGTGCTATATTTAAATAAATGTCTGAAAGTCTGATACATCTTGGTATATCTATGTCATTTCAGGCCTCCAGATGATGAATCTTCTAGTGATGATGAAAGTTCACAGGAACTGAAACAATCCTTAATGGCAGATCCCCTTCCACGTGAACATTCAAGCTCTGGAAACACAATGTCTTATAGAAAGTCACTTAGATTGTCTTCAGATCAAATTGTAAGTTGTTATTTTATCCAACATTAAATATTTATGAATCTAGTTTAATAAAACTTAGCTAGTGTATTTTTGATTAAACAATTAGATCAGTGAAGACGTTTTACACTAGGTTATTGTTTTTCTCAGATATGCCATTGAGATTATTAAGTTGTACTGCATTTTTTTTCAGTATAAGACACTCCAGACCATAAAATGCACCTAGCTTTTAGGGAGGAAAAGAAGAAAAAAAAAATCTGCTTTTGCCTCCCAGCAGTTTGCCTCTTGTAGCAAACAGCCTGATTTAGCACGAGCTACTGATCGGCAGTTGATCGGCCTCTTGGAATACTGCTGATCAGCTGTTCCAGGCTGCGGGGATTGCCCACACCCGTTGCCACCTCTGTGCATCCTATTTTTGGCTTCCGTGCATCCCAGTTTTGGCCTATTCCAGCCAGAGGTGATTGCCGTCACTGCTGCTAATCCCCGCCACCTGGAACGGGCTGAAAATGGGACATGTGGAGGCAGAAAATGGGCACAAGGAGGTTGAAAACGGCACATGTGGAGGCTGAAAATAGGGTACATAGCGGTGGCAATGGGTGGCAGCAATCGCCACAGCCTGAAACAGCTGATCAATGGTATTCTGGGAGGCTGATCCAACTGCCAATCAGCTGCTCGTGCTCAATCAGGCTATGCTGAAGCTGACCAGGCTGTTTGCTGCAAGGAGGCAAATTGCTGGGAGGCAGAGGCCAAAGGATGGTGGCTGGCAGGTGTGTGGGGCTTCAGCACATTCGCTCTATAAGACGCACAGACATTTCCACCCACTTTTGAGGGGGGAGAAAGTGTGTCTTATAGTGCGAAAAATATGTTATTTGGATTTTGGTACTTAAAAAGATTTGATAGTGAGCTTATTTCAAGCATCTCAATTGGTTTTTTTATTTGAAAATTAATAATAACATTGATACAAATTTAAATGTATTTGAGATATTAATAAGGCCTGGATTATTTTAAGGGGTGCGATGGCTCAGTGGTTAGACACTGAGCTTGTCAGCTGGAAAGCTGACAGCCCAGGTTTGAGACCCAAGCTTCACATGATGAGGTGAGCTCCCTAGCAATTTGTAAGAATGCAAATGCAAGTAAATAAATAGATACCATTTCAGTGGGAAGTTAACATTCCATACATTTCGGTATGTATGCTGGCCACATGACCATGGGAATTCTTCAGATGAGCATTGCCCCCTAGAATCAGAAAGAACTAGACAGGGGAAACTTTTATTACGGATTATTTTACAATATTTTAATGCTATTAATTATTACTTAATTAGTATTAATTAAGTAGTACTATTAGTACTAATATCTCAATTTTATCTCAGTGTATGCTGAAATAAGTACTAAACTAGAAACCCATTTTAAAAACCGTTTCTTGCACATCAGTCAGCTTTTAATGTTCTTTTAGAGTTAAGATGCCTTGCATCTTATTGTTGTTCTGTTATTAAGACCTGCACTGTTTGAAAAATAATGCTAACATAACTCAAGATTTTAAAAGTTGGGTACATATAGTCCTTAAGTAACGGTGGCAAAAAAGTCGTAAAATGGGGCAAAGCTCACTTAACAAACTGCCTCACTTAGCAACAAATTTTGGGCTCAGTTGTGGTCATAAGTTGAGTACTACCTGAAATGTAAAATAATTTAGAAAAAAACTATGTTATTTTAGTTACCATTTTTACATATTTTCATGTTAAAGGAAAAGCTGAAACTTAGAGATGGACCAAATGATGTTGTGTTCAGCATTACAACTCAGTATCAAGGAACTTGCCGTTGTGCTGGGACAATATATTTATGGAACTGGAATGACAAAATAATCATTTCTGATATTGATGGAACAATAACTAAGTAAGAAAAAATAGTTTTCTTTTTGATGAAACTCTACAATAATGTTAACATTCAACTGTTTCTAATAGATATGCTTTGAATAATAGTTACTGAAAAGAACTTTCCTTAAATCCTATTTTGCCTGCCCTTATTCTTTTAATTCTATTCAAGCATTTGAAGTTACTTGACCTGCTGATTTAATCAGAAAAATAAATTCAGTTAAGAATTGATAATATGAGTTAAGACCATTAATTGTTTTTCTTTGTTTCTGGGTTAGGTCTGATGCTTTAGGGCAGATTTTACCACAGCTTGGCAAAGATTGGACTCATCAGGGTATTGCAAAACTCTATCATTCTATTAATGAGTAAGTTATCAATGTTTGTAAAATAATTTTGTGTTTGAGTTGTGTTTATAACTGTTTCTATTCCACTTCTATGCTCTAACATGGAATCTGAAGATTATATATGGTACGTTTATAATATATGAACAAGTTAACGTTGCTGTGAATATCATATATCACAACAGTATCGCTATATGCTGAGGTCATCACACTTTTCTGATCCAGTCTTCAGGGTGCAATCTCATTCAATTTATTCTTTCCTTATCCCAAAATTATAATATGGGAGTATCAGTATGTTTTGAATGTATTTTGTAGAGTTCAGGAACTGTTATGTAGCCTTGTTATGAATTCTGTATGCAAGAATTTATAGCAAATGTGAAAAAAAGATTTTTAAATTCCTTTTTTTTTTTAAATTAACTGAGGAGCAACATGATGTTTGATGAAAAAGTGGCTTCTGTAGAAATTTGAAAGAAAAGGCAAACCTGAACAATAACAGGCTTGGTTTCTTGCAGCATTTCAGAATGAATATAAGTTATTTTAGAGTAAAATAAAACATATTCAAAGATATCTATTTAATATAATAAGCTAGTTTCTATTTTACTGGTTAAAGGATTTTAAAAAGTTTGCTTTAACTTTGCACAATCATTACTAATCAAAGGAGTTTTCATTGTTTTCTGGTCTACTTACATTGGACAAGATTGTCATATTATTAATCACCCCTTTTTTCCTAGGAATGGCTACAAGTTTCTGTATTGTTCTGCTCGGGCAATTGGAATGGCAGATATGACAAGAGGATACTTACACTGGGTTAACGATAAAGGAACAATTTTACCCAAGGGTCCTTTGATGTTGTCACCTAGCAGCCTGTTTTCTGCCTTCCATAGGTATATAAATGAAACACATCTTATTTCTGATCATTTAGTGTGTTGTGCAATACAACTTCAGGAACTGCAAGAATTGCTTTTGTCATGTATCCTGGTATGGTCATAGTGGCATTATTTTAATGTGTGGTTTCTGTCACATATATTCAGGGGTGGGAGTCTACCAGTTTGCACCTATTCGCTAGAACCGGTTGTTAACATTCTAAGCAGTTCAGAGAACCGGTTGTTAGAAGAAATTCCTGGCCTAATCCTGTAGAAGGCAGGAAGGAAACATTCTGGTATTGCTTACAGAAACTGCCTCTCTGTTAACCCTTATTACATTCTTGGCAGGACTAGACTTCTTGTCTCGGGAATGTCTCTGGAGTTATTTTCCCCTCCTTTGCTGGTACTTTGCTTGTGTGTAGTGACCATTCAAAGTTACTGGAAAAAGTGACTTATGACCATTTTTCACATTTACGACTGTTGCAGCATCCCCACAGTCTTGAGAGGCCAGGCGAGGAGGTGCATGCCTCGATGTGAGTGATATTGAGTTGGCCACACCCAGCCAATAACATGACCACCAAGCCATGTCCACCCCAGTCACATGTCACACACCAAGCCATGCCCACAGAACCAGTTGTTAAAAATTTGAATCCCACACCTGCATATATTGTATATTAGTCTATCATGCTTTTAGGTTTACAAGTAGTCCTTGACTTATTCATTCAGTGACTGTTTGAAATTACAACAACACCGTATGAAAGGACTTACAATCTGAACCTGAAGTTACATCTATTGTAGCACCCCTGCTGTCGCATGATCAGAAGTAAGGTGCATGGCAGCTGTCCTGCATTTATGGCCATAGGGATGCTATGACTTGACCTGTTCTATTCCATTTTACCATTATCACTAATTGGCAGCAGTGACAGGGATGGGTTTAAAGTAGAGATCTGGGGTCTTCAGCAGCTTCTGCCAGCTGCCACTGCCCCTCAGGCTTGGACTTCAACCCCAGCCCCACTGCTGCACTGAAAAATGCCACCTCAAGTCCCATATCACTGGCCTTTCTAGCCGTGCATCTTTGTCCAAGCTACAGGTTCCATATCTTTTCCAAGCTACGTACCCCAAAGCTACCACAGATTGCCACACTGAAGGTCCAGGTTGGGATGACTGAGGCTTCCAGAACTGGCTGAAGCTTTGTACCATACTGCAGTGGCTGCTCAACTTATATGTGGCCTGTGCCAGACCTCCCAGGGGTTCCCCTCCTGAGCTATCCAACATTATCTTGGACTCTGTCCACTTGCAAAATTGCTTAGCAACTGCAAATGAAAATGCCAGGATTGTAGTGCAATTGTATAAAATGATCACATGATATCTCAATGATTGCTTCACTCAGTGGAGTGCCAGTTGTAGCGACGTTTCAGCAGAATCTCATCTGCCATCATCAGGCTTCTCTATAGTGTTCATCTGTGAGTCAGGCTTTTATAGTGGTTTCAGATTTAAATTTGGGGCAGCCTATTGCTGTGCCAGAATGGTTTTTTCTTCACCCTGATTGGTTGGGAGTCTTGGTCTATGTTTATTGGTCTTGGAGTCTGCTGTGTTCTGCTTGATTGGTGTTTCTAATATCTCCTGTCTGTTTTTTGGCTCTTTTTGTCTCTTGATTGGCTGGCAACATTGTGTTACTTTATTGGAGGCCTTTAGAGCAGCTTGGCTCCGGGTAAATGGACGGCTATCATTAGTTAGTAGGTTTCATCTGGGTGCCTGGTTGGGGTGTGTTTGAGCTAGAGGGATCAGGAGGGATCTGTCTGTGCCCAGGTGTTTGCCTGGCTTGTGGTGTGGAGATTTTTTTGTTTGTGAGTGCAGGCTTCCAGATAATTGACAGTCTGGTGGAATCATATATAATAATCATATGTATGTATGTATGTATGTATGTATGTATGTATGTATGTATGTATATATGGCATTCGGCTTTGTTTGGGTATTTTCCCACGTCATAGTAGTTGTGCTTTTAAAGTTGTAGCGACATTTCAGCAGAATCTCATCTGCCATCATCGGGCTTCTGGCAGATGAGATTCTGCTGAAACGTCGCTACAACTTTAAAAGCACAACTACTATGACGTGGGAAAATACCCGAACAAAGCTGAATGATTATATATATGTATGTATGTATGTATGTATTATTATATATATCATTCCTTTGCCTCACTTACAATTGATAACTTATAAAAACTTAAATACTTATTCTTTTTAGTAATCACCATTCTCGTTCCTTCCAGAGTCTTTGAATGGTTCAGTAGCCTTTTCCATATTCTCTTATTTTGTTTCCATATCTATTTATTTTACTTACAGATATTTTTTTCATGAATTGCATTTATTTAGAATGTTCCATGGCTTTCCCCTAACATGTGACTGATTCTTCCTTTAGTACAATTCAAAGGAAAATAACATTCAATTGGCCACCTGATTTCCTAGATGTATCAGTCCATACTTTCTGATGTAATTTTACTTCTTTCATTTGTAATTCCATGATTCACCAATTCCATTCTGCACGATCAAATCACCATTAGTCAGAGCAGTTAAAGCTACCTTCCTTCTAATTCATACCAGTAGCTGATATAATGGAAGTTTTGTAGCTGTTCATATGGGTATCACCACAAATATTCAGAGTTCCACTGGTTACCATGGTTTCAGTCTTTTGCATTATGATTAAGATTGACACGGATTAGATATAGATTTCAAAGCTTAATCCTCACTTTGCTACTTGTAGCATTTCCTGCTAATAACAGTAGCAGTCAATTTTAGCACATTTTAGTCAGTATGTACAAGCAAGAATTAAAAGTTCAATTTTATGCTAAGCATGCTTATAAGTAGTCTCTCCGAGTTCACATCTCTAAACTAGAGAATATCTTGGCAAGACAGCATAAAATTATTTACATTCAACTAATTCAGAGGCATGCTCAGTGTACATATCTATTAATTCATTTGATTGCCACTCTATTTCTGAAAGCTCTGTGCAGCTTATAAATATAAATTTTAAAAAATCAACAGCTAACAGTGTCAACTTAAACTGTTGTTTCTGCCTTATGTTCTGTTGGCTATTTCATGTGAAAAAATCCCTGTACATTTACCATCTTTTTAGGTTACATTAAATTTTTCTTCTAAATTTTCAAAATTATAAAGTGACCCTAATATCACCAACAGAATATTTATAACTTATTTAAAATAAAGAAAATTGTTTCTGTATTTCACAAGAAATTCTGACAGTAAATGAAACAATCACATTTCACATTTCTCCTTGCAGGGAAGTTATAGAAAAAAAGCCAGAGAAATTCAAAATTGAGTGTTTAAATGATATTAAGAACTTATTTGGTCCGTGTGAACAGCCTTTTTATGCAGCTTTTGGGAACAGATCTAATGTAAGTTGCATCATCCTACAATGAATTTACCATTTGTTTCCTTTTTTCTAAACTATATTATTGAAATGAAATTATTGTTACAAGATGGGTGCCTACAATGGAACGATGCATATAAATACTTAGCCAAACTTAATTAGATAACAAACTTTTCTAAATTAATCAAATTTAGAACTATGTCAAAATTTTGTGAGTGCCTATGTGATTTGGTATAACATAAATAATTAAATTGGCATCAGACTTAAATACAGTTAAGTTCTGTTTATCTGCAGGATGTCTATGCCTATATGCAAGTTGGAGTTCCAGCCTGCAGAATATTCACAGTTAACCCAAAGGGTGAACTTATCCAGGAACAAACAAAAGGAAACAAATCTTCGTAAGTATGGGATTTTAAAAATAGATTGAGAAAGATTAAAATATTGTGTGAAGTCATGGTTATTAATTTAAAATGTGTAATTGTAAATTCACTAATAGTCAAAGAACTACATTTCTTTAATCTAGCGCAAAAGGGATGATTAGAATTTTAATTTTGGAAATTAAACAGACTAATTGTCCAGGTGGATTTTAAATATGATTTTAGAAATAAATATTACAATTGTTATCTCCTTCCCATGGGAAAATGATTTTATTTTGAAAAATAAGATATTTTAAAAATCAGCCATTAAAGGGAATTGCAATTACAATTAAAGGAGAAGAACTCTTAAATTTAACCTACAATTACAGAGTGAAGAAAATATTCTAACACTGAATATATTGAAGGATATTTCCAAACAGTGGACCCAGTTGTTAAATTTAATAGTCTTCGCCTCTATTAACTCAGTTCATGTTGCATAGTATAAATATTCTAATTTGCATGAAGCTTTTAATGGTTCCTAAATTGGTTAATATTTCCTGGATTTTCAAGCTTGGTGAAAATTAGGATATTGCCTACATGATTTTGAACAGAAGAGATGCTTTCACCTGTGAGAGAAAAGTTCAGACTAAAGTCAAATTAGATTTAACGCTCTCCCTTTTAAACACCCAAGAAAGGATTTTATTTCTTCTGATGGCTCCAATGCCTGGTTTTTTCAGGTTTTTATTCTCTCTGTCCACTATTTAGAATTCCCTTTAAGTCATGTCTGAACTTTTTCAGACATGAAAAAGTTTTTTCTCTAAATTCACTAGGTACCTGTGATAAATCTGTACATATCTACCTCATGGATCATTGGGGAACATAGCTTGATTTTGAGCATTTCCAACTTTGGATTTGTCATGGCATGTTCATTTTGTGAAAAATATGTTCACATATGTGCAAACAGACAATAAAATTTAACATTTGCTAGTCTCATTATATTATGCCTGGTAGACTTGTAAAAAAGCCAGAAAATGTAGGGTTGTTGTTGATGATACAAAAATTTTACAACTTGAAATCAGAACTATTTTTGCTGGGATTAATAACTAGACAAACAACTAGAAAATATTGGAAGAATATTATTTTATATGAGTACTGCTGTAAGACCATTACATGCACAAAAATAGAATGACTTTGAAATATAAGCAGACTTTGACTTACAACTAATTTGCCTAACAAGGTTCTAAGTCATGACAGTTGTAAAGCAGGTGGTCTATGACCTATTTCATGTTGGTTAATTGAATGTTATGGTTGCTATAGCAAAACACTAGTTTGTTATGGGCATGGTTTTGCCACAAAACTGGAAATAATTGCTGGTTTTTAGCAAAACTATTGTAAAACATAGTCACATGATCACAGGATGCTGCAGACAGTGGCTCTGTTACTGAGCATCTGAAGTTTGGTCATGTCTGCAGGAGGGGGTCAGACTGTCAGAACTTTGAATCCACATCATAAGTATCCCCAAGGCAAGCCTGTTGTAACTTTGAACAGTCATTAAATGACTAGTCATAAATTGAGGCCTAGTTGTACCCAGAGTGGAGGAATGGTTGGCAAAGATAATGGAACTAGCAAAGAAGGCAAAAGAAAGCTGCTTAGAGAAAATCAACTACTATTTTTATTAGCAAATGGGCTAATATGAACTTTTTGCTGACAACAAGAAAAAAATGAATTTGTGATTTTTGGATTTGATGATTAGAAAGAGTAGATTATGGAAAGGAAGAAATTATGTATCCTTAAAGAAAGAGGATAAATATAAATGCATTTATAATTTCTGTTAAGATTGCAAGCAGATCTTTGTAACTTTTTGTATATTTCTTTTCTTACTGTTTTCTTTTCTTTGCACTTTTTTTCTTTTTCTGAGTTTTATATGTTTTTACAATTGTAATTAAAATCTTCAAATACATATTTATGAATTTAGCATTTGTTAAGACTTGAATGTCACCATTATGCTTTGCATAAGTATATTTAAACTTAATGGGCCAAGCTTCTTTAGAGTAAATATAGGTAATATTGTGCTATACAATAAGAATAATGTATTAATGTTTTTCCAATTTATTTTGTATACAGGTATTACAGATTAAATGAACTTGTGGAACATTTGTTTCCACTAATTAATAAAGAACAGAGTTCTGCTTTTGCGTGCCCAGAATTCAGTTCCTTTTGCTACTGGAGAAAACTGCTTCCTGAAGTGAATATGGAAGATTTAGCTTAAATAGCATCACTCACACACACAGAGCTACTTTCTGGAGAGGCCACTATACTGTTTTGGTACTATATGTCTTACTAAATGCAGGAAGAGCCATTCATTGATACAAACTAATGAAATGCAAAACTATTTCCTTTGTTCTTTACTCAAGCCTACTGTTTTCTTTTTAAGATACTGGAAAAATAATCTTCTGAAATAGCAAATTTTCAAATGAATGAAAATGGATCAATTTAGCTTTTCATCTTCAAGAGTACAGTATATGAAATACCAAAAAAAATGGAACTCGTAGCATTTCTGTTTGGTCTGCTATTCCGGATAGTACTCAAAATAGCGTTTTAGGTGTTTTAGATGCAACAACTGAGAACATTATGTAGTTCTTTATGTAGGTCTTAAGAATATAGTGGTTAATGGGTAAACCTAGAAAAATGAAATTGAAGTAAAAATGCTATTTTTAAATATGCAGGTTTGCCTTTAGCAATCTGTCTAAATCCTATACAGTATGATAGACCTGCCTGAGCTTTTTACTTGCAGCACTTTTTTCCTTTGGTAAACCACTAAGTGAAATTAAGTAAAATAAGTCCATAGAATGATAAGAACTTCTTTGCTGCAAAATGGGGGACTGTTGCCATTTCCTAATTACATTTAGTTTATGTATGATGGAAAAGTTACTAGGCAACATATACAGAAAATATTCAGGGATAAACTTGTTTTCTAAGTAAATAGCCAATTTTTAAAACTGGAAGTAATGTTTTGCTTTTCAGGACCTGTGCATCAGGGTTTATCAATTTGATTTTTAAAAAAAGGTGCAGGTCAGTGAATTATTTTGAAACAGCTATAAATGTCAGTTCTGATTAAATATTTTGTATTAGCTGCAGAGTAACTCTAAAAGAAGTAACTAGAGTTCTGGATTAAATAGCAGTTGTCTTACATTCTTTCACTTGTTTTCCACTGTTGCACATATCTGTTAACGCAAATGTCTATAGATAATGCAGCAGATTTAGCAGGTTTTTACCCTTATGTCCTAGCAAAATAATTTTAAAGATTATCTTAAATTTTATCTCATATTTTAAGAATGGGTAGGCATAAATGCAGGCAACACTTGTGAATGGGTGTTTTTTTTCCCTGCACACTGAAACATCTATAAATATATCAAATGATCAGGTTGCAGTAGTGTTTAGAAACAGTGTTTCACAGTTAAGAAGAATGGCCTATTTTCTATTGAATTTGTATAGAAAATATATCTGAGAAAATTTAGAAATTTCAAGGTCTGGCATTTTTTACACTATTTTAAGTGTACAGATTCTTAACACCAATGAAATAAACAGTGTTTGGGCTGCAACATAGTACATTAGAAACAAACCTACATTCCGACCAATATTCTCTGTACGCTCAAAGTATACAATTCTGATTAGTCACTGCCAATTGTACTGTATCAGACTCATTAGTGTATTATGTAATTATGTTCATATTTGATGAAGCACTTTCTTAGATTAAAAATTATTAAAACAAAAAGAAAAAAATCCATTAGCATCCTCAAAAGTTGTGATAATATTTGTTCTAAACTGCAGTGCTATTTAGTTTGCATTTTAGTAATGCTTTATAAGTTTATTTTGATAAAGTGAATCTCTTAACACCATGATGAAGTAATCTGGAGTTAATTTTTCTGTGATAAAGTGGTTGTAATGGAGAAAACCTATGGCTTATTTTTTGAATGTTGAGAATTTCCAAATTGCTTTTCAAGGAAGAATTCCATTACACACTACGAATTCTTTTGTTAAATCTAAAAAGTGGTTGAGTCATCCTGATCCAAACATTACTTTTCATTGCAACAAATATACAAGTCTTAACATGGTGATTGTTTATTATCTATTTAAATCTTTCTGGTTAATAATTACATATTAAGTTTGGATTTTGCTTCAGTAACTCTAAAGCTAGCCAGTGATGAACCTTGTCTCAGTATTCACTTTCTCATAGAGCTCTTTAATCTATTTCCTGAGAGCAAATACTGATGAGTTGGGAAACAGTTCTTGTACTATTTCTGTTTTGGATAATTACATGTAAGCTAATTCTTTCTGTGAAAGAAATGGACATTTGTGTTTATTTACTATGTCAGTCTGTTTTTTTCAAGTGTAATTGCTTTTACTTCAGAAATATAATGAATTTCTACACCAGTTAAATTATTTAATTGGAATAAATAAATATTGCAATCTAACTGAGCTGAAAGTCTTGATCTGAATCTGTGCAGATTTAAAAATAAACATAAAACAGGACCCAAAATGTTGGTGTTTTGTATTGCCAGACAAAGCTCAGATTTCTTATTTCTGTTTGGGCTGTCAAAAGACTGAATATATTTCAGTAAAAAAATGAATAGATATGCTTTTTTTAAAAAAATGTTACTGTTAATATATTGGTTGAAAAAATATATCTTCATTTGGAAAATTAATATTTCACTAAATTTCATGACTCAGAATTGGATCACTCTAAATGCATTCAATTAGTATGATGTATCATATATAGACTATTACAATGTGTAAAGTATTGCTAAGAGGTCTTAAAATAATGCCAAATATTATAAAAACATGAAAATATGTCTTTTCTGACCTTGCAACTAATAAAGTTGGCTTTGTTAACCAACAGAATTTTGAAACTTAAAAAGAATCTCTACACTTGAACAGTTCAGATTGCGAAAGAGAAGAAAACTCTTAAGAACATTCTTGTTAACTGTGGTTGGATTTTTCCTTTGATATAACTTTGTTTACTTATTAATCAATAAACATTCCAGAACAGTGATTTTTGGTACAAACTGGATGTATTAGGAAAAATGTCATATCATATTGTTTAATAAAGTTTATAGTAAAATTGTACCTGTGTCTTACTGTTTCCATAGAAATGTTAATAATAAATACTTATAGATATTATGAGAATTGAAATTCAATTCTAAATGCAGGAGGAGGAACTCTATAGGACCATATATAGTATTTTGGACAGGACAGAATGAAAAATGAATGTATTAAAACCCAATTTGATGTTAATTTTGTTTTGCTAAAGAATCAAATAAGAATACAGCTATTCCCTTTGTATAAAAATAGTTCACATTCTAGTGATTGCACTTGTGCTGGGTGTTGTATTCTATAGCCTATGCAGTTTTTTGGCAATTGTAGGAGTATTAACAAATTTGTCAGTATGCAGTGGAAATAGAAACACTGGAATCTTAGAATAAATTAAAGTAATAATTTAATCCTTTGACAATAAAAACTACTGGAGGAAGGCAGGGGGTGGTGGAGAAGTATTGAGGGGAATCCAAACAGTATGGTGCATACTTGGGATACAAAATACTGAATTGATATCCAAAAAGAATATAAGGGCTAGAAATTGGAACAAAAATACTCCACTATTTCTACTGTTCTCCCACTTGGAATGTTTTATTCCATATGCAATAAATATTTAGACTGTTTTTGGCTAAGCAAGAAATGAGTCTGACAAGGATCAGTAAGAATCCAGCTACTATATGCAAATGTTTGAAAACTATGGTGAAAACAATATAAAGTGATTTGACATTGACATTTCCTAGAAATATGGAATGTGAACTCCCCTATACTATGAAGATAAATTCAAAGATGAAGCCAGTTATTGGAGAAGAAAGGTGAAACAACTGGACTGGACAAAGTTGAATGGTGAAAAGGAGATGGGAACTATTTCTTCGTTAAAATATACTGTCTAACCAGCAGCAAATTTCCAGTTGAAAATACACATTTGATACCATTAAATACTTAAACATTGTTCTTTATATTTTAAATATACTCATTGTAAAGGAAGAACTGAACAACTATGCAAAATAAATTTTGTAGAAGACAAGCTAGAAATGGATACGTCCTGTTTTACTGACATAGCTTATAAAACTTGAAAACACACAAAACCAAATTCGAAAATGACATATGTGGTGAATAACAATATATCGGGCATAAAAGACCAGGTTTGCACAGAAAGGTTCAATTAAACTGATTTAGTGCAAAAAGCCAGTGCACAGGAATCTTATCAACTAAGTGTTGACACCTGTTTAGATAAGGATCAACAGCATTGGGAGTTGGTGTGTATTGTGGCATAGTCTTGTGGCTATGTAGAGTTTCTAGGTTGATTGCCTTTTCATTCTGCCCCAGGTTCTGCCATCCCTTCTACGGAATGTTATAGGCCCTTCTATTGAAAGCAATGATAAATTAGCCTGGACAAACAATATACTTTTGAGTTTTATTCAACTAGTTCTAAAATGCTTGAAATATAATATTGTTTCTAAATGGTAGAAGTAATTCCCAGAAGAGGAATTAGAATTTTTTTTAATTCTAAAAGCTGCTTATTGCTTTCAAATATTAAACAAAGCAGCTGTTCACAATGATTAATTGGAATAAAAATATTTGTAAAATGTATAGCACTGTGGCCCTCAATGGCCTTTATGATTGTCTGACAGTTTTGTGTTATTATTTTTCAATAAATCTGAAGTAAACTTATTTTTTTTAGAAATTAAAATTACCAGCTTTGCATTCAAGTAGATCCAGGTGAAATGGTAAAACAGAAAGCAATAAACTTACTGATTATGGGGTGGTGATAATTTTACTTCACTTGAGTGAACTGGAAAATATGAACAATTTCATACTTACATGTTTTCATAAAATTCTGAAGAATATAATGCATCTAGTTTGAGGATAGAAAACATTTTTCTACATATGTATCAGTTTAAAAATGAGCTCATCCTTCAGGAGGAAGTTTGCTTTATGTTGCTAAGGAACAATTCTTCAGGGATGGCTCATGGAACAATGAAAGACAAAAGACCTTCTGAGACCTCAAGAGAAGATTAATGAGAAATAGTTAATAAATCTAGCTCTTAGCATCATTTGTAGCCACAAGTAGAAGAAAAAAAATGTTATTTGGCAGTCTGCCATTACAATAGTCTGCTCTAAAAGTAATTCATATGAATGAATAATACAGTTTCATGTTCTCTTGTGAACTTATAAATTATTAAAACATTAAATAAAGAAGTCCTGGAAAAAAAGAAAATATTTGTTATAATAATTGTAGAATCTGGTGCAAATACTAGGTATGTGTTTTTAAAAGAATGGATTCAGATAATGTAGAATTGGTAGAAAACTGACAAAAGCAAATGAGAATTTTGAAAAAATTAAAATAATTCTGTAGAAATTAACAGTATTATAGAGATGATAAAGCTATGAATTAATTTTATTTATTTGTTGCACAATATATATAGGCAATAATCATGTTAGATTCAAAATTGTGTTATTTAATGTTGTGTGTTAAATAAGGCACAATTGACCAGAGTTCAGACAAGGTACTAAGCCATATGCCATGACTTTTCACATTACAAAGCTATAAACTATAATTTACAAATTATACGATTTACACAGTGATGCATGCCAACTTCTCAATTTTAGCCTTGCATGAGGGACAATAAGATTCATTACATAGTTGTTGCAATGATCTCAACAGCTAACTCAAGAATAGAAAAATGGGTGTAAACTGAATTTGAAAAGCCATCTGGAAGTATTCTGTTCACTTTCTGACAAAATACATTAAAAAAGAGATAAGAGGTAGAAAAACAGCAGTTCTAGTTCTTACAGTGTTTAGCATTGGGCTATGGACCATGACAAATTACCCAAGATGAAGTGTTATCCTTGGAACATAAATGAAGTTCCCATCCTTGAATGTGATAAGCAGCCTCCAAGCAGCAAAATGCTCATAATTCTTAATATGCAAATGACCAAACCTCCATGAGAATTCAGGTGCATACATAAAGATTTCATGAAATGTGGCTATCACTCAAAATCACCACCACTTTTAATTTTATAAGACAGTGATGGGTGCCCCTTCACTAGATTTTCAGATTTTGTGAGATAATCAAGTGCCTTGAAATCTGTTTGGGAATGAAGAACCTTTTAAATCATGTGCAGAGTATCCCTGTGATCAGTACTACTAATGTAAACTCCCAATAGCTTAAAGGAAGCTAATAAAAATGACTTGATAGAGACAATAAAGAGATATCAAATATATTGTTTCATATGAACAGTATATATAGAAATTTGAATAAAGTCCCATTATAGTATTATCATAGCTCTCTCAGATATTAGTAAATGTTGCAAAACATGTATTTTGAACATTTTATAATGTGACCATAGCTTGTCTTGATATGCATTTTTTTTTTCTTACATTCAGTTGTGTCCAGTTCTCAGAGACTGCATAGATAAGTACTTGCAGTTTTCTTGGCAAGATTTTTCAAAAATGGTTTGCCATTTCTCTCCTAGGACTGAGAGAAAGTGACTGGCCCAAGGTCATTCAGGTGGCTTTGTGTCAAAGGTAGAACTAGAACTCATGGTCTCCTGGTTTCTAGCCGGATGCCTTAATGACTACACCTAATTGGGTCTATACATAAATAACCATACTCTATAAATAAAAAGCAAACAGAAGAAGAAACATAGATGGGGCAGCACTTAAGCCAAATTACTGAAATGGAAAAAAAAATGGAAAAAGTAACATTAATTAAGCTTCTCAATTCATTTGTTTTTTTTCTCTTCAGGTTCAATTTCTAGATATTTCATTCAGGTTCTATTTTCTGCTCAGGTCTGAGAAATTTCAGGGTACAGAAATACCCCGCTGAATGTAGAATACATTTCATCAGAGTCTGAATAGGCTAGCTTGCCCCCAGTAACTAAAACGCCTACTTCTGCACCTGTTTTGAGATGGAGAACAAGTTGAAAAGCCCCAGTTCCACCACAAATCCGTTTCCCTGATCTTGGCCTGCGATATTCAGGCAGGTCTTTCTGATAGCCAGCTGTGTGAAGCTGAGCAACACTTGAATTGGAGACCAACAGCATTGCTTCAATATATTCACCTTTCTCAGGAACTAGAACAGCTGTGATTAGGTAACGACCTTCATACGGAGATGTAAAGAAACCTGCAAAAAAGATGTATCAGTAAATAACACACCCCTATAATTCTTACAACAGGACAAGTGCATATTTATTGGAGGTTTTTTCCAGATAAAGAAATAAGACATTACAGTTTTACTGTGAAAGTTTCCTATTTTATTAAAATTAGTAAAGCAGAATTCTTCACATAACTGTTTTTTTGTTTATTTATTAATTAAATTTATATGGCTTCCCCTCTCACAGAAATAACTCTGGGTGGCATGCAACAGCCCAAACAGGATATATAAACCATCATTACTTAAAACATGATAGAATTATGAAAACAACATTAAAAACTCTAACAGCAGAACTAAAAATAACTAAGAATAAGATGGAGGGATGTTAAAAATGATGAGCCATCTCACAAGTCCATCCATCCCCTGGTGTCCCCATGCCTGCTGACATAATCAGGTCTTGAGAGACCTTCAAGGGTATGGTGAGGCTGATCTCAACTCTGAGGTGAAAAGATTCCATGATGCAGGCACCAAAAAATCCCTCCTGCCTAGAGCTCACCAAATGTAACTCCTTAGATGACAGAATCTGTTGGATCCAATGGGTGGGCAGGTAAAATTGGGAAGAAGTGATCTCTTGAGTTTACTGATCTCATGCTATTTAGATCTTTAAAATACCAGACCCAGACACAAACTTGGTAACCAGTGCAGCTTGCACAGCAAAGGTATCACATGCAATCTACCAGAAACTCACGTAAGTGCTCACACCAACTGTCCACTTTAAGGTAGCCTCATGTACAACACATTGCAACTGTCAAACTGAGAGTTGACTTGGCATGAATGACTGTGAGTAGAGCTCCTTAATCCAGGAATATATAACCTGATGTACAATACAAAATTGTGTAAAGGCACTCTTA